CCCCGGCCACCGGACGCTCTACCGGACACGACCCTCTCTGGAGCTTGGACAGCTGCCCACCTTGGACTCTGCACCGGACACTGCCCCCCACAGGGCTGGACACTACAACGGACACTACTTCCCAGCTCCGGACATTGCTCCATCTTTCCCCCTGGGTTCTGGACGCTTTCCTCCCTCCCCCTTCGGGGGCCCAGACACTGAGCCCCCCGCAGGCTCTAGCTAACAGCCCCTTGTACCCCAGCGCCAGACACTGCCTCCTCCCGGTTCCCTTCTCCCTTCCCCTCCACCCGCCTCATCTTTCCCCCGGTTCGGGTCGGAGCACCGCCAGTTTTACGACCCCCTGCAGCTCGGCCGCCGGCTGCCGGCTCTCCCATCCCCCGGCTGCTCGCCCGGATGCCTCTCCCCGGGGGATTGTGGTGGCTCCTCTGCTGCCGTCGAGGCTTTACTCTTCTGCACCGGGACTACGGGGACGGCGAGCTTAGCGGGGACGGAGACGAGGACGAGGACGAGGAGACCTTTGAACTACGGACCCCAAGTCCAGCGGGCGGCGGGAGGGTAAGTCCTGGGGGTTTGAAGCCTGGTCTCAATCCCTCTCCCTACCGCCGGCCGTCACGCCGGGTCCTGCTCCAGACTCCAGCCAAACAGCGCGCTCCGGGCAGGCGGGCGTGGGAGAGGATTTTGCCTAGGAGTCAGGAGTCTCCGGGAGCCTGCCGACTTGGATGTGCCTGTGGGCCTCGCGCTGGGTGCTGTCCACCTGCTGGGGCCCTGAGGCAGGCGTCACGCGTGGCCCGACCTGGCCCTGCCTCTCCCTTCCCCGCCGGGCCCGCGTCCCATCCCATCTCCTTCCGCCTCCGCCAGCGCCGAGGAATGTGGAGAGGCCGGCTGGGCGGCTCGGACGCCTGGGTTCCCTGCGCTCTGAGGTCGTAAGCGCTGGGCCTAGATGCGGGAGCTCCCATCTCGGGGACCTGGGCAAGGGGTGACCGCCTCCTCAGATTAGGGTCCGTGGCGGGGACCCCCCGGAGAGGGAACTGGGGGGGCCAGAACTCTTCGAGGACCCTTCGTCATTAACCTCAGGACAGAACCCTCGGCCCGCCCTGGTGAGCCTCCTTGGGAATCCGGAGGGGATGGTGAGGAACAGCCGTCTCCCAGATTCTGTCGCATCTCTTCGTGGGGAAACTGAGGCACCACTGACTGGTGTGGGAGACTTCCTTTCCCTGACGTTCCCTCTCTGATTCCCCCGCAGACTGGCAACCAGACTTCCCAGTGCAATGGCCTGGGTCAGGCTCCCATCCCCCGCTCAGGGGTCCCCAGCAGGCCCGGTGGCTCCGTGCCCGGGTGGGGCGGGCTGCGCCGCCGCCAGGGCCGGCGCCAGCACCTGGCGGAGGCGGAGGTCGGATAAATATAGAGGGGGGCGGGGGGGGGGAGGGAAACAGGACTGCGATTAGGGGAATTGGTCTAAGTGGTCAGCACCTGCCCTCTGTGGTGGGGTGGCCAGGAGCCCCTTTCAGACCCTCCAGAAATCGGGTGGATCTTTCTGCCTTAGGAACACACAGGACCCAGGCGTCCACAAGCTTCTAGGCCGGGCAGGGTCGGCTCTGTGAGTCAGGCCATTGCTTCCCTCGCGCTCCACCTCCACCCCCCTCCCGGGAGCTTGGGGACAGGTGTCCCTGGCCCCCCCTCCCCCACCTTCCCCTCTTGGCTTTAGCAGTCTTCTCGCAATGGGACGATGGAACAGCTCCTGCCTGACCTGGCTCCTGGATGGGTTTGTGGCCTCTCTCAGACCCCAGTCTACAGTTGAAGTTCAAAGGCATGGGGGGTGGGGGGTGGGGGAGGAGAAAAATCTCCTATGGCATCTCCCCCTGAGAGTGTGTACCATTCCTCAGCCTGGCCAGCCCTTCCCGAGCCCAGCGAAGGGACAGGGTCTCTGATGACATTGAGTCTCAGTGGTGTCTGTGGGAGGGCATAAAAGCTCTTGGAGAAAGCCCTATACTGAAGGGACCCTCTTCCCTTCATTCACCTCTGCGCCCACTTCCTGCCTGCCCCGCCCCCCCCCAGCCAACAAGGGAAAATGAGGGGGAGGGGGTGACTTGGAACCTGCCAGAGCAAAAAGAGATTTCATCCACCTCTCCCTTTTCAAAGGTCGGGAAGCTAAGGCCCAAAGACGGAAGGGGACTTCAAGGTTCCTCTCTTACATCCCTGGGCAGTTAGTGCTAGGCTTGGTATCAGAACCCAGGTCTCCTGATTCCCTGTCCAGGGTTCTCTCCACCTCACCAAACCCCTGCTTGCACCTTTGAAGTGTAACCCTGACAAGGCCTTTTAGCTCCAGCTGTGCTGTAGACACCGTGGGAGGGGCGAGCCCCGCGGTTTCGGTAGCTCCATCCCAGTCAGGACCGCTCCTGGGTTCTTCAATCCCCCGAGCAGCACTGTCCTGGGGCCGAGCCTTGCGCATCCCGAGAGGAGGACTCTGATCCTGAGCCTCTTTCCCCAGGGCCCCTTGGACGTGACGCTGACTCAGCCGGTGAGGAGCGGGCCGATCTCAGACAGGTGAGCACCTCCCCTGCATCCCGCGGTCGGGAGACCCCAGCCCGTCCCCAGGACCCCCATCGTCGCCGCCTTCCCTCTCGCGATTGTGCAATAAGGGAGAGTCCTTACGCCGGACGCTGTGGTTTGGCTGGGGTCCCGAGGGGGCGGTCCGGCTGGGGGCGCCGGGAGGAAGGGGGGGTCCGGGCTATTTTTGGTGAGAAGTCAGACCGGCCCAGCAGTTCCCACAGCCTGGGGGAGGGGTGCCCGGCTCCGCACCCCTTGCTGTCTGGGGAACCCCTATTGAGGAGCCCCCTGGAGGCGCGGTGCAGGACCCGCAGCCTCGCCCAACCCTTCCTCCCCTCTGGCCCAGGCTGCAGAGCTGGGAGGAGACGCGGAGCCTCATC